CGCTTGAGGCCCACCGTATGGGCTTAACGTTACGTTTCTCGAGCTAATATGTCAGATGCAGAGGTCATACACAATAATTTTTTAAAGTTCTTCTTTGTTGCGATGAATAATTTTATGGCTCAGCCCTTTTGTTAAATATTTCCGAATACTTTGTGAAAAAAATAATAAAACGTAGTTAAAAGTTTTTCAAATTTTGTTTATCTAACTGTTATGAAATTCGCTTTTTACAAGATACAGTCCGTATCACTAGATCGTAGATATTTTGATCAAGAGAAATATACTTCAAAGTTCTTTTAATGTAGGATTATTTATTTACAATTTAGTTTGGCCGTACTCTCAACTTCTACGTTCTTGCCAGACTAACTCTACTTTTCACAAATATTCGATTTATATACAATTTTACAAGAATGTTACTATACCTAAATTTATGGTTATGGTCTAATCCCAGCCTGGTTTTTCCTCTAATCGTTTCCATCGGCCTGCACCTGCATGACGAGCCTGCGAATATGCACTTAGCTTTTACCTGTTTGCTTTTCCGCTATTCGTTTTCATCAGCCTCCAGCTTCATGAGGCGCCTGCGAATACTCATTTGGTTTTTCCTTCTTTAGGAAATTTGTTATTACGAAAATTATTTAGCTGACATTAACTGGATTTGGGATTTTCGTAACAAAACATTAAAAGATCGCCGTTTAGTTGTAGCCGGGTTAGCTGTGGTCGTAGGCACGATCTGAAAAAAATTATGATTAATTGACATGAATTATAAATAGTTATAGAAAACAAAAAATATGAATTGGAACAAAAGAAACATTCTGTTCCATATAATGGCTTAGGGGTTCATTTGCAATTTGGTCCTGTACCGGTTGTAAGTGTGTCTCTATGCTTGTCGTGTACATGCTTTCTATTTCTTTTCTTTTTTTCCCTTTTTATTTGTTTTATTGTACTTATACTAAGTTTTAATGTTAATATATACCAGTGCTTGCTTTAAGTGCGAATTGAACTCGACTGTTATTTGTTTAGTTAAGTTTCATGTGTAAGTAGAATTAAATAAATAAATAAATAAATAATCAACGACGTGTTCACCTCACGATCCGCAGAAGTTATTGCGGATCTTACACATTCCAAGTTGTTCCGTGCGCTGCAGGTGGATGATAAAATCGTCAGCTCCCTGCACGTTCAGTAAAACCATCTCTTTGCTGAAAGATCTTAAGATTTATATGAAAAAAAAAATAAATATCACTGCCAATATTTAATCAAGTAAAATCATATTTTGTGATTACAACATTTTATATTTGAAATTTCCTCAACATTCACTACGGAATTATAAATATACTCAATGTCCGCTTGACGTATCGAGCATCCAAGATTCGCCTTTAGGCGAACATAACTCTCTACTTATTGAAAAATATTTCATTTATAATCCGTTCTTCATTGGTTTAGGAAAACACTTCACAACTTTACAAAAACGAATAAAATAAAAGATTTATAAACACACACCTACCTTAATAATAACGTACGTTGTGTGATAAGCGTCTGGTGCTGTCACGTTAACGCCGTCAGCATAAGGAAATAAAACAGGTTACGGACAAAAAAGTAAAACTGTAACAAAAGCAAAAGTAAATATAAATTATTAAAGAATAAAAACTACCCATAGCCCTAAGTTAATAAAAATAATGAATTTTAGTTTTTATGTGAACGAAAACAGAAAGAAGAAAACACGCTAATAAAGAAAATTTTATTTAAAAAATGCTTAAAATCTTACTTACATGCAATATATTGTAATAAAAAATCCACACTTTTGTTTTTAGCTCATCTTCAATAACGATCTGAATATTTTCTGTACAGTTTTCGGTGTGCTTGTTTGTCCTTTATAAACATTTTATCAAAGTGCAAACGCTTAATAATCACAGTTTTGTTTATAAAACTGATAAACGCTTTACAGAAATACGTATTTGATGTATATTTATGTAAATCTGGGCAAATAGACAAAACAAAGTTAATGGATTGTTTTACTTTACATTCCTTGTCATAAATAATAAACTAAACAAACATAAACGAAGAAGAAAAACAACACGAATGAAAAACTACTTTTACTTAAGAGCGAACATTGGATTGGATATTCACTGCCTACGTCTGTTATGCTTTTTACTCAATTTAATAAATACGTATGACTTACATGACATATGGGCTTTATGTGACTCATTTATAAATGCATAAAAACTTTCAGTTTCTTTCAGTCAATGCGGTGGGTGTGATTGGTCGAATATAACAAAGGAAAAAAAAAAAACACAGAAAGCATCTACATCATATATCAGCTTGATTTTCGTGGCAAAAAAAAAAAACGCTCGCATTAATAGTGCAAGTTTTTACCGAATTAACAAAATTACTATATTCAGTGCTTGCTGATTTACAATATCAGTTCAATTTATATTGAAACTGCTTCTAGTAAATATTTATATCGAATTTTAAGTTAATATATGCTATAACTTACAATACTCGCATTCGTACGACTATTTACTTTATGAAAATTTAGATGGTCTCCATAAATGTTTGTATCCCATTATCGATATATTCTGTGAATTAGGCGTTTGCATGTATTTTGATCGTTTTTTTACTTTAAAAAGGCATTTATGTAGCAAAATTGGTACAATGTATATTAATCAAAATATTTTCCACCATTTTCTATAAGTTTTTGCCATCTCTGCGACAACATGGCGATAATTGGGAAATTGGTGAACATTCGCGCGGGATTGCGCGAATTGCTCTATCCCATTTTTGAAATGTAAGTTGTCAATAAATGGTATGAATTGCTTCATTTCATTTTTTGCATGCATTTCGGCTGTTATTCCAAATTTATTATTCGTTTATATAAAAATGTATTAAATGTTTCCATGTCGGGGAATATTGTTCTGTTTTTCTATTAAAGAAACTGGTGTAAGTTTTTTTCATACTACACAAATTTTGAAGTCGTTTTCTTTAAAGTATACACACAAGTGTCGAAGTTTGCTTCTAGTGAAAACCGTTTAATAAGAACATTTCGGGTCCGCCCGTTTCAAACGGTACAATGACTCTTTTAATCTACAAACCACGTTCCCAAATCACTTTTGTTCAAAAAATTTCCGTTGGACCAGATAAATTTCATCTTCCAAATGACCATTTTAACAAACAGCTAACTATATCAATGTGATAAACCGATAAACGATGCCGAGCACCTAGTGATAACAATAATGTCAATATTGAATGGCGTACTATTGGATACTTTTGGATCCCAACGTTGTTAAACCAATTCATTGTCTTCTTGTTCTTGACGCAGCAATATCACCGTAAACTTCTAAAAGTGATGGGGTTCGACATCAGATTTTTTTAAATCAAATAACGAAAGTAATGAATGTCGAAAATGCAATTTTGAACATTCCATGGTGAATGTCTGTTTACATTAAATAACTCAGTAATACTAAATGGAAAATTATTATTTTATGTAGAGAAAGGACGACAAATCATCGAATTTAACCGTTAGGACGATTGATACTTCGCTACATTACTTGACGGTGTTTGCCATCATCGAAGGATAGCAGGTGTAGCCGTTTTATTATAATGTCTGTAGCACACAAAAGAAAGCTTCAGAGATCCTATATTCTCGATCAGCTTCAAATTCTGAATCAAACTAGCCGTGTCTGTGCGTCTGTAAATTTGTGATTTCTTGGCGCTCTCCAGGCGCAAAAATTGACTTAAAATTTGTTAGAAACGTTGACATTTCCTGTACGCATTATTGAAAATAGGCAAAAATAGTTAGAGGACACGTCGACAGTAAACCATAAATTTAAAGCACCTCTTTTTTAATAAAAAATTTGTGGATATTTTCTGAGTAGCCATATTCTATGAAATATAGAAGGCTGAAATTTGCTATGCATATCTTATTGACAATCCTATTATTCATGTTTAAAAAAAGAAAATCGGCTACGCCCAAACAAACTAATTTAATTTTCATTTCATTCTTTCCACCTTATTCATTCATAACACTTAGACCTGCCAAATATTTTTAATACAATATTTGTTATAGCTTCCAAGATACTGTGTGCTTGCATATATATATATATATATAAGATATGTATGTAAAGAACTCACAAACAATTTATATTCTGCAAAACTGAGATTTCATTCCTTCCAAATCAACGGCAACGCTTTTTGAACGACTGTCAGATGCTTCACATTAGAACTATAACTTTGATTTAAAGATTTTGTTTTACAAAATCATGGTTTTTAGGTCGAAAATTAACCAAATCGCCTCGAAAGTTTTTTTAGGTTTTTGCTAAAAAAGAACATCCACATCGTACGAATACATGATTTGAAATATTTTTTGTACCATATATAAACGGGGTGGATCAACATAACAAGTGAATGCATATGAATAAATAGTAAAAATTACGGGTCTGAAACCAAGCGCTTCTTTTTGTTAATTGAAATTTGTTGTTTAATTTTCTCTAAAAATTACTAGTACTTGGCAACCATGAATCTTAATGTTACGAAAATATTTCATTATCTTCTCTTTGAGATGGTAAGAGAACAGTAAAAGTATGTAAAAAATGAATAACTGCATGCCAGTTGAATTTGTATGAAAAACACTAGTAAAATATGAAGAGAGAAAGCAAGCCAATTGAATTTGTATAAACAACACTAGTAAAATATCCATGGATGAAACATTATTTTAGCTTAAACGTTGTTAGACTAAAAATGAAAGCATTTTTAATCTTGTTATGGAAACACGTTACTTCCTCAAGAAGAATAGTAATTTTTCAAAGTCTTTTTTGAAAAGTAAAGACTTAGAGAGCGTTATAGTATCTTTTTGAAAAAAATAATAACTAAAGAGTATATTTTCATACTAAAGAACGAAGTAAGATTGCTCACCGTGTAGGTTGAAAACAAGCAGTCTTACTCACCTGACCACCTCACCGGGAAATAGAGGAAGACAAGTTGGCAATAAGAAAGAAAACGATGTTTAGTTCTTCAACAACTGCCGAAGAAAAAACTGGTAAACGGCTAGAAAAAATGTGAAACATTATAAGTAAATTTTAACCGCGTGCAAAGAATTAACGAAGTAGAAGTATCCGATTATTAATGAAGTAGAAGTATCCGGTGCTTTGTCGATAAGAAAACTATGTAATAATTGTGAAATTAAAAATAAAAGTTAAAAGTTGAAGGAAAGAAAACGTTTAGCAATCATTATAATAATATTAGTGATGATAATTATTACATCAAGCACGTATAAAATTAATTTTATTTATGTTGAAAAAAAATTGTCCAGTTGTAGAGACACGAAGAAAAACATTTAGAAAAAGCGTAAAAACAAGTTTCCATTTGCAATAAAGCAACAAAAGCCACAGTAACAACAGCAGTGAAAGAAAAACACAAATCGAGTGATATTATATTTCTCTTTATTTTTTCGGAGTCTGCATAAGTAAAGAATAAAAGTCGTACAAATGCATACAAAAGCAAAGTAGTTACTGGTTAAAAAAAAAGAATAAAAAAAAATTCAAAATAAATAGCAAAAATGAAAAACAATTAAATAAAAGTGGAAACAAAACCTTAAAAAGTACGAAATATTTGCGTGTTTCGTTGAGCCTAAAAAGCTCTAGATTAGTAGCAATCTAACTGGGATTATTGCCGAATTTGTTCTCTACACGCTTTGAAGTAAGTTTTCCATTCTAATCGTTTTTTTAAATCTGTTTTCGTTAATTGCTTAAAATATTTGCATTAATTTTTGCCATATTTCAAGTTTTGTTTCTTTCCTCGATAGCTGTTGTGTTCTATTCTATTTAACTAAGCGTTTAGTTTGATGCCCCTCTTTGCTACGTATAGTTTGTTAGTAGAGTTTAGCTAACGGTAAAATCGTGTGTTGTATATATATGTGCAGATATACAAAAAAATAACATTTTGCAAAGCTAAAATTTGCATATTCTATGCTTTTGAAGGATTTCATTGTAAAACTGACCAAACAAAGAGTTGCCAGTTAAAGGAAATAGTTTCAAATCTAATATATTCCAACAAGTATTATACGTAACGTCCAAAACATATATAAAAATCTGTTACTTTAAAATCATAATGAATTTTAATGATCGTTTCCCTTAGGTTATGATAAAACTGAAATGAAAATGATTATGAAAAAACTGGCTTCGGAAATTGGCGCTACAATATGATTTTAATAACTATGCAACAAAAATTATTACTTTATACGATAACTTAATTACAAATTTTCTTAACAACTCCAAATTGGCTTTCAGCGCTGCAGTGCATCTATTACGGTTAATCCTCCATTCTCCGTAGATTGATTAAGTGATGGCTTTTATATGTTTTAGCGAACGTTCTTTGAACGGAGTCAACTTTTACCCCATAGCTAGAAAATTACTGCCAACTTACAAGAAAAAAGATGCGATACCATCTTTCAAAATCATTCTCAAAATGATAAATTCGCAATGCTATGTAGACTTGATCAAATAATGAATTAAATCTAAACTAATTTGAAACTTTGGAGCGAGCTGATCATAAAGTGTCAGGAGAAACGCTGTTGGGTTATATATAATCAAGAATATTTCTGGTTTCTTCTTTTTTTTCGCTTTTCGCAGCGCAAACGAAAAAATAAAATTAAATTAAATGAGATATCAAATGTATATTCTGTATTTCGTCCGTATTTTCAATATACAAGGCCTCACCCATGACGATAGAAAGACATTTCTTTTCAAACTTATCAACGTTGAAAAAAAAAAGTGTTCTGCGGACGGCAGAAATTACTAAAGACTTAAAACGTAGTACAGGGACTGACCTAAAAATTTGATATGGAATTTTACTCGAAAGATGAAAACCAATATGGTAAATTCACAAAAACTTCTGCTTTAAGAAAATGACTGTAATTTGGAATGTATAAGAGGTAATCGATTAACAAGTAACCTTAATAAAGGCTAAAAGATGTTTCCTTAACACAAACTAAACGAATCAGAAATCGAGTAATGCAACTTATATGTGAGGTGAGCATGTTTTCCCATTTTAGGAATTTTTTATCATTTCACGAACACAATAATTATATAAATAATTACAATTAATTTAGCTAGAGAGTTGTTAGTCGACATCCTTTGCCTGGTAGGCCACAGCATAAATAAAATTTTTGCGGCTGAGTGTTTGAAACAGTTTCTTTAACAAATGCAGTTTTGGGCATTATACAAGCGTCCCAAGTGATGGCCAAGAGATTTGCAAGCAGAAAATAATATTCGCTTCGACTGTACAATTTCTCGCTCAATTAAGAAATTCTGACAAAATTTGGATATGTCCGTCGACTAACTTTTTCCTGTGATTGTCTATTGCTTTGATGCCGAAATTGCCAAAATGACACCAAATTCAACATAAACAATTATGGAGACTTTCTTTTCTTTTTTTTTAATTCACTAAAAAAATTTCAAAGTTTTTGATATCCCATCATGTACAAATTAAAACCGATTATAAATTGAAACATGAAGTTTGGTAAAATATATAAGTAGAAAAATATACAATCGCGAATAGCATGATTTCATGAAAAACTGTCAGACATTACAATGTTGGCTCAAGGAAAAAATTTGTCTTTTAAAATGTCGAAAAGGCTTCCGTTCGTTTAGCGAAGGCGCTGAAAATTTTCTTTCAACTTTCGAATATTGACACCGAAAACGTTTCGGTCAAGCTCGTTGCATTGTAAGTGTTGGTAACGGTTTTTTTTGCAATGTAATGACTCAATTTGCTATATACGTACGGTTGAATGTAAGAACTTTTACTTCATTTGATAGTAAATGTTGTGAAAATTTAAAGAGACGTGGGCCACGCTTGTTGTCTCTATATGTGAGGTAAAATCTGTGAAAACATTTTTCAAATTGCAGTAAATGCAGCATTATAATGTGTTATGTATGTGTTGTTGAAAAGACCCTTCTCGATCATTTATTATTGCACCGTAAATTGAAAACAAAACACAAAAATAATTTGAAACCATTGAAATATTTGTCAGAATTTTTCAAAATTTTGTTTTTATATGCGATAAATCATAATCATATGAATCGCTGCCAAAAAATTGAGTACGAGTGTTTTATCAGAAAACGTTTTAAAGCATTGAAGCTACTACCGCAAGACAATGAACACATCGAGGGGGCGATAAGAAACTTTCGAAGGTGAAGAAAGAAAACATAAATTTCACTTAATTACCGGATAATTTTATATACAAGTGAATGAAATGAAGACAATGGCCGTCATAAAATAAGAAAGCGTGTGATACATACATATAATTAAATGAAACCTTTTAATAAATTTCATACCGCTCAATGAGCACAACATAGTTATTTCGAAGAATTATAAAACAGACATAGAAATCTTTTTAAAAAAATTGTAAACAAAAATTAGAAAGAAAAGTCAAAAAAAAAAAAGAAAAACGTACCCAGAAGAAAACCTTAGATCGTTAGTTTAGATCACACAAGACGTGACTTTGTTAAATATACAAGTAAAATTTGTTAGTTTGTTTAATTTTTTTTTTTGCTTTTAAAGTTAATTCATGCCATTCGATGACTACAATTCACCTAAGCCGGAAGTAAAATTACTTAATAAAAATTTTTCAATTTTAATTTAAACTTTATAAATTTGTTGTTTTAAATTGCCAGAGATAAGCGAACAACTGTTAAAACAAGTTTAATAAATTCACAAAAAAAAAAAGAATTAAAAAGAAAGAAAAGTTCAAATTCAACTTGAACGAGGAGAGAACCTTGTACGAATTTTTTGTAGCTTTGAACTGTAGCTGGGCTCTGCAATTAAAATAAAGCAAAATAAAACCGATAAAATAGATGGTTAAAAGGGAAGGCTGTAGTAAAACGAATTCTAAAATAAACTGAGAAAACTCTGAAAATTAAACGTAAAAATATTTCTACACCGATATTCACCGACGACAAACAGAAGCTAAGTAGCCACAGACCAAGCGTAAAGAACATCATCCTCTTAACCTGTTTAGGCAACTCAAGTGATCATCATCAACCATCGTACAACAGAGAACAGAATATAAAGCAAAATCCCCATACGAAAAAAAAGAAAACAAAAAACCTTTAAACAACAACAAAGAAGATAAATGGAAAAAAATTATTCCAAATTTAACACAAAACGTAAATAGGTATGAAAGGAGGAGAGTCTTCAGGTTTTCAAAACATCACAAAGTTCCGCTTCTTCATTTGGTTTAAAGTTGTTTGCAACGTGGTTTCTGATTATAATTGGTCGTCCTAATTTAAAAAAAAAAAAGCTTTGCAAAGTTGCGAACAATAATCAGATGATAAATAATTTTTGCTTCTTTTTTCCTTTTTTCTTCAACCGCATTGCACTAACTGCACATTTGCAAAATTCTCTTTATTTATAATTTTTTTCTACTTTACATGTTTTGTTTTATTGCTACTTTGTTTTTTTCGTTCGTGGATAACACCCCGCATACAATATATGAAACCGTTTTAACTTGTCGTTCAGTAGAATGTAACTCCGCATAACGGGAGAACTTTTGTGTGTGTGAACGTATCAAGAATGTGTTGTAGTTTTAATTGACATTTAACTGTTTTGCAGTGTAGAGTCAGATAATGTTGAAAATGTACACATGAGAATGATTTGTGTGATTCATCGATAAGGGTTTAAAACAAAAAGTCCTTATATACATATTTTAAAATTTTTTCTTTCTCGTATTTTGAGGGAGTTTTTTATAAACAAGGATAGGAAACTGCATTTTTTAACGGAATTTTGTCATTATCCCATCAACGATAGGCAAATAAAAGGGTGTGAAATTATATTTAAATATAATTAGCAAAGGCATAAACCAAATATTTTTTTGCAGAACTCTGCTAAGCCCTTAACAGAATACTTTAAACAAAATCTCGCAAGGATTTAAGTCAAAATACAGTTAAAATAAAAGTTATCAAGAATTTTTTTACAAAATATTATAAACAAAACATGACTTTATGTAAATTAATTAATATGCGAAAGGACAACATTTTTATATTATGTCATAAATGAGCTTGATGAAAAGAAGCTTTGCTTAGCTACTGCGGGCAAACTCTGTCCTGTGAAAAAATGAAACTAGCACAGCGAAAACCCCCACTAATAGCCTTTCTAACGAGCTTCAGGTTATATTAAGTTTTGCTCGGAAAATTTTTATGGAACTTTGAAAATTGCCATGATATAGGCTAACATGTAAGCATAATATATCCTGCACATCGTTGGAAAGATTACTAATAGAGGATTCGTTGGTTTGTGTCTTTGCTAGATATATTAGTAGTATTATAGTTAAATATAACTTCACACCCATGGCAAATATAATGATAAGTTTGACAGCCATTACCTAATCTTATAGAGGTTTGTCGCCTTGTTTATAAGCAGCCTTTATCGATAGTCCAGAAGTGAAGTTGCGAGGAAGCAATCATTCGTTTTCGAAAAATTTTAAAAGAGAGGCTTTGATAAAAATCGTAGCCTGACAAAGTTGTTTTTTGGCAATAGGTATCGCGGTACAGTGCAACACACTACCATATGGCAAATCAACATTAGCAAACATGCGTGAATGTAATCATCAACCAGATCTCCCGTTTTGATGCCAAGTGGCTGTTATCGTAATGAAACTTTAAGGATAAAGTTGAATTTTAATATTATTTCTATTTTATGTT